CAAGTAGCCAAAACAACAAATCTGTTTTAGCTGCTTTTAATATAAATTCCCTGTTATCCCTGTTCCCTTGGATATGTAAGTATATGCCAAGAAGATTCATTAGAAAACAGAAGAATACAGAACCTACTATACTTCATCTGATTTCTCTGACACACGCAAATTTACATTTCTACCTATAAAACTGTAACAGCTATAAGGTACTGTGAAACTCGAATATCATCTCCAAACCAGCTGATAAATGAAATTAAGATCTTTTGAGATCTATCCTAAAGCTTAAGAAAGAACGATACAGTTTGTTCAATGGATCAAGTGGCTCACTCCGAGTGCAGGCTGAGTTTTATGATCCACATGCTGTGACCGTGAGCAAGAGTCAAGTCGCCAGCTGTCTGTGACCGAGATGCTGCTGCATGCCCCAGGGGGGAAGGCTGGGGTATGTGGGCCAGAACTGTCTGCACCCTTGAAAGTCGCCCAGGTGGCATCTGCGATGGACGCGTCTCGTTTCTAACTGGAGACGAACCTCCCGCAGTACGGAAAACATCCGAAAACGATCTGCTCAACGGGGGGGCGGGGGGAGGACAGAGAAGCCTGAATACGCTTTCTCGTCTAGTGAAAGAAGTAGCTTTCTCATCTACTTCTCATCTATCTAATGAGCTCTAAGGAATGCTTTTTATCAGGCAGGCCTGTCTAATCCTGGAGAGACAGTGTATTTGTGTCACGATCGTCATCCCTCCTCTTAAGGGTGCTCTGACCCTTTCCTATTTTAGTTCATTATGTGCACCTGTCCCTTGTTTTCCTTATTATTATTTAAAGCCTGGCGCTCCCGCTATTCCCCGCTCTACATTGGAAGACGTACGCCCGGAAGCACAACTACCAGCGGGTCCTGGAGAGACCTGACGGCATAGGCTTCATCACGGCGTCCTAACCTGCTGCGTAACTGTTGTTATCCTCCTGGCTCCCTGTCCCTGTTCCGGATCCCGTTCCAGTTTTAATCTTGTCTGTCTCGGATTGGATCTCCCGGCTCCTGGACTGCGCCCTGGTTTCCCCTTTGGACTACCTTAGGACTTGTTCGCCTGCGCCACGCCCCCCTGAGCACCGGATCACAGCCGTCACGCCCCCCTGTCTGTCATCCCGTCCCGCTCCTGCTGTGTTTCCCTTGAAGTCTTATGACGATATAATCACTTCCGGATTATATTGTCTGCATTGAGTCCAAAATACGCACTACTCGGGAGCCAGGACCGGCTCCCATGACAATATGCAAGGGTCAAGACTGTTATGATTTATCCTACATGTTATGATTTGAAAGCATTCAGTTATAATAATTCATTACTTTTTCCATGTTGGGGGGGCCCTGACAAATATGGCCTAAATCTCTGTTTTAAGCTTTCAGCTGTTTTGTATTTATAATTAATTTGGGAAAATCTTTTGAATTTTGTTTTCACTTTGACATTATCTTGATCCAAATTAAATACATTATGATTCCCTATTTTAAGACAATAAAATCTGACAAGGACCAAGGGGGGGGGGTGAATATTTCTCGTGGCCATATTATGCAAATTGATGCTACCTTCAAAAAGGGTCATAAATGTATTTTTAATTTAATTACTGTATGCTTAAGACATCTTTAAATATGAAAATGTTTTCAATTCTACTAAGAGATAGATAAGGACTATAGCATTTTGGGATATAAAATATAATACTACCCTGATCCAGTGTATTGTTAAAATGTAAGGGGGATTTTTACTCCAATGAACATTAAAAGGCAGGACATGGTCCATGGGGACCACAATCAAGGTACCCCACAGGATCCAGCCTGGGGTTACATCAGACGAGTCCACCTGCACTTACTCATTATCTCTTGTGTGTGGTTGCGGGGTTAACAGACGTGAGCTAAGACATGAAAATCATAACTGGCAATTCCAAGGTCAGGTGGGTAGAATGAAAAACCAAGTTTTAAAAAAAAAAACAGCAAAAATGACCATTATAATATAACAGAGCTGTGAATTCTGTGATGTCCATGGCAGAATTTCAGAAAATAACAGATGGACTTTCATTTACACGTTGCCATCAAGTTTTTGCTTTTATTCATGCATTCATTTTAGATGCTGAATCATTTGGTTTGCCATGCAACTTCAAAACCAAGAAAATTATTTTTTTCCCCAAACAAAAAAAGAAGACCAGAATTTGCAGGTAGAGCTATAAATACAGTACTACTACGTGGTTTCCAAAAAAGCATTTGTTAAAAGAGCTGTGACTGTACGGCCCTTGCCTGAACCAAATTCTCTAGAAAGATGAGGGGAAATGAGCTACTGCCCCCAGTCAACTGACCACCTGGGAGAAAACAATTGATCAGGTGACAATGGAATAAACCAGGAAGCTGAGGCTTCCCCATCAGTCATTATCTGCAGCCAAGGAGAGCAGATCCTGTGAAAATGTGCTGTAGCAGGGGGAGAAGGAAGCACCTGACCATGGAGCTTGTGGGTTTTGAGAAGTGTCGTTTTTTTTTAATTGAACAGTCTCAGGAAGAGACTGAGTTTTGGAACATTTGGACCTTGGAGAGGACGGCACTGTGGCACAGTGGTCAATACTGCTGCCTTGCAGTGCAGGTGCCTTGAGTTCAATCCCTGGGGTTCTGTCGTGTAAAGTTTGTATGTTCTCCCTGTGACAACATGGGTTCACATGGGTTTCCTCCAGGTGCTCTGGCTTCCTCCCATAATCTAAAAACATGCTGGTAGGTAAAATGGCTTCTGGAAAACTAGTACTAGCATTAGCGTGAGAGTGTGTGTGTTTATGTCTGTATGTGCCATACAATGGACTGGCTTCCCATCCAGGGTGTATCCTGCCGGGCTCTTGACCCCTTGACCCTGTATAGGATAGATCAGTTTAGAAAATGGATTGACGATCTTGGGGAGAGACTAATGCTTTGTTGCCGATAAGCATCTTAGCTTCCTGGTTGACTAGAGGGAGACATCTAGTTAGAGCTTGAAGAGAAGCCTAGGCTTATGTTTTCTCTTTTGTTGAATTTGGTTTAGTTCTCTTACATGGTGAGTAAAGAACACTGGCTTTTACCTTACTGCTAGATGTGTCTGTTTTACCTAGGGCCTGCCTATTAAAAGGTTGCTGCAATGGCACACCATCGCAGGGTCTCAAACACAGGAAATACTTTTAACTGACAGAAATTCTTTTGTTTTTATTTTTCACACAGCCCAAGCCGTAGAGTGGGCAACGCTTACACGCCGGTCGACATTGAGAAAACCGACGTACCTTGATCCTCCGGTCGTTGTCTTCTAGACGACCCTCGGCCTGCGCCAGCTTGCGGGCCAGTTCTTCGCGCTCCGCCAGGTGCCGGTCCTGCGCCAGCCGCCGCAGCTTCTGCAGCGTGCTCCTGCAGCGGTGCAGCTCGTCCTCCGTCTCCTTCAGCTGCCGGTCCGCGGCGCGCTCCCTCTCCTGGGCCCTGCGCAGGCGCTCCCGCAGGGTCCTCGCCTCGTTGGTGTGGCGGGAGATGAGCTGAGATATCTCGTTTTCCGTGTCCTCAAACTTGTGGAGGGCTTTCTCCTGCCGGTGCTGAAGCTGCCGCAGGATCTTGTTCTCCTTCTGCAGCCCGTCCAGCCTCAGCTGCAGCTCCGCCAGCTCGTTCTTCAGCTCATTGATCTTCAGCAGCCGCGCAGACAGGACACGCTTGGTCACCAGGTCCAGGTCCTTAGGAGGAGACTCTTTGTTCAGGCTTTGGGATCGGACCCCCCAATTCCTCTGTCCCATAGCCCTGTTACTTAGATGCCTCGATCCCATCTTCTTCAAGCCTACAGAGAGAGTTGGGCATTACACTACAGAGACAAGTGATTTGTGAAACCGGGTTGTTCCGTTAGTAAATAAAAATGTCTGCCAATGTTCTTCTACAATAATTCATATTTTTTAGACTGAACTGAACTGAACTGAAGGATCTTTGTTGAAACTATTTTCACGCACACTTGTTCTATAAAACTGACTTAGAAGTGTAAAATGGAAAATAATCTCACACACTTGGTAAGACCAGAAAACAAATAAATCTTCCATTCTGTTTCCAACAGCTTTGCTCCTTTTGTTTCCCTGTCTAGGAAATGTCTTCTGAAAACTGGCAAGTGGAGGTTTTCTTTCACCAGACGCTTGGTATTGGTGTTTGATTATTGTAATTAAGGGGCTTAAGATGTTTTTGTATTTGTCATTGCTTAATTTTTCTGTTCCTCTAGAATGGACTGCTGGTTGCTGCTACTTCTCTCTCTTTCTCTTTATGCCAGTGGCTATATCACCCTGCAACTCACTAATAGCAACCCACCGAAGCTCAGCAGCTGTGAGCCTGGTCAGTACCTGGATGGGAGACTTCCTGGCTGCTGCTGGAAGAGGCATTAGAGGAGCCAATAGGGGGCGCTCACCCTGTGGTCTGTGTGGGTCCTAATGCCCCAGTATAGTGACATTGACACTACACTGTAAAAAGGGGCCGTCCTTCAGATGAGGTGTGAAACCGAGGTCCTGACTCTATGTGGTCATTAAAAATCCCAGGGCATTTATTGAAAGGAGTAGGGGTGGTATCCTAGTGTCCTGGCCAAATTTCCCATTGGTCTTTACCAAACATGGCCTCCTAATAATCCACATCTATGAACTGGCTTAGTAAGTAATGGTGAGTGTACTGGTGCATTATGGCTGCTGTTACATCATCCAGGTACTGTATTTGCTGCACATTGGTGGTACAATGTGCTTTGGTTGGAGTGTCCAGAAAAGAGCTATATACTATAAATGTAAGGAATAAGTATTACTAATTTCTCTTTGCACCCACTGCATGATTAGCACACACACCATTTAAGGACAATAAACTCATGGTTTAGTTCTGCTCTCCTGACCTACAGACACAGCAAAGGCAAATGAGGGACCAGTGCTACAATATACTGTATTGTGAATGATAACTCTCTTAAGTGTCTTCACTCAAAGGCTGAGAAAGGGTTGCTTATGAGTTATTTAAATGTAATGCCTTAAGAAATGGAACAGTTACATAAGTCAGGGAACGGATGTGATCGTATGAAAGAAATTTTAAAATCTGTTGACAAAATGTTCAAATGGCTTATGAATTCTGATAGTATAATAATACAATAATACCCCCAAACTGTTAAGCAATTCCTCAAAATTTTGCAGTGCTTCATTCAGAGCTCAGTATCATTCAGGTAATTTCCTTTGACAAAGTGCAAATCTATTACTCAAAAATGTAGTTACATGAACAGGACTGAACTATATTTTGGGCCATAACAGGATGTAGGACTTTACCAACTTGAACAAACTACATCAGTAGGGGATACAGTACTATCAGAGCATATATTAATATCAGATTGTCAAAAGATTTTCAATAATAAGTAGTTACATTTTTAATAGTAGGTAATTTACAAATAATGGACATAGTAAAACTCAATACTATAGGTATTTAAAGTAACATATACTACAAAAGTTGGTAATGCATAAAATAAAGTAACATATACTACAAAAGTTGGTAATGCATAAAATAAAGTAACGATAAGGAGAGAAAGGACCATTTAAGGTGACATCAGTGGGGTACCACAGAGACATGAGAAAATAAGACGAACTTCAAAACCGTAGTAGTGGCAAAATAAATTCAGAAAGATGAACATATTAAGGACGGGGAAGACAAGTGCATGACTAGGCAGTAAGATCATGCATTATAAACATAAAATGTAGGATACTGATCTCAAACAAGCAGCCTGTGAAATTGATTTAGGTATTTACTGTATGTTAACTTTTCTTTTATCCCAGTACAAACAATACTGGGAAACACTAACAAAGGCAGATGAGAGAGTAAAGTTTAGTGAATCATGCAAACATAATCAATTTATGCTACAATTACACAATAACAACACGTCTCATTTAAAATAATGTACAAGGTTGGTTCGCCCATTCTGATGAGGATGTTACTACCCTGGAAAGGGTAACGAGAAGACCAGATTAATTTCTGGTCTAGAGGTAGGCTATGGCCACTTTTCTCAAACCCTGGTCCATGGACTGAACCATCCATGTTGTTGAAGAAGATCTTTTAAAAAATGTCTCACTGAGATTCTCACATCAATTAGAAACCAGCTCAGCAAGCCAAAACCATTTCTTTTGTTTGTGAACAGTTTGCAGCAAAATATTAATCTAAATGTCATCAGGTTTTAGCTGTATTAAAATAAAAATATTATTCAGAAGGCAGGTTATGTTAGAACACTGATATTACTTTAGAAAATGACTAAGTACTTGTTTATTGCTATAACACTTCTACAGATATTTTAGTGATAGTTGTTTTCAGTGCAGTTCACACTGTGTGGTCATTATTTTAGAATGTTTACAAGAACATATTTCATGTTAATGACTCAAAGATTACTGTTAAGCACTTTGTGCTTAGTTTGTCCTCCTAGTCGGCTGTAAAGCAAATAAAGTATGGTCTATAAAATAAAAGAACATTCTCAGATTGTCTCACAGTACTGCAAAATTAATTTATCCATTCATTCAACTCCTTTAGAAGTGAAGACCTTTCTGTAAATGTAATAAAATCATTAACACTGTTCAAGCCTGTACGATTTCATACAATGGTGAATTTTAGGATTTGTCTTAAAAGCCTCCCTTGTGAATTTATCTTTTCTACTTAAAACATATTTTTATAACAGCTGAAGCAAATGTGCAGCCCTTCCAATCCATAATATATTTTTGCTACATACAAACACATACTAAAAAAATAAGATCAGATCAACCAACAGGGGCTTTCAGTACTGAAAATAGAATACTATGAAAGGATCCGATTCAACTATTCAAAAATCCTCAAAGGCATCAACAAACTCAACTCAAAGGTCTTTTTCAGGATCAATAGGAAAACCCTGATCATAGGATGCAAGTGAAAACCACAGAAAAGTGCATTTAAAACTGAGAACCGGAAATGGTTTTTCACACACTGAGCTGTGGATGAACGTGGTCACACCCGATAGCCTGGCTTCTTTCCAGAAACGGCTGAATGAGATGCTCATTCAATTAGCGGACAGTAACAAAACACACTGGTTGGGCCAAATGGCCTCCTCTCCTAAGTAACCTTTCTTATGCTCTCTAGAGCACAGAACGTCATAAGAAAGCTCACCAATGCTGCCATCTACAGGGACATATCAGCTATAATCAGCACCAGAAATCTTACAGTAAGCCTTCAACTAAACTCCTCCCAGAAACACCTGGAGAAAAACAAATAACATACTTGCTCCATTACCTATTTCAACTCCTAAAGCCTAGTTTTCCAAAGCTGGCAAAGGTTTACTGATAAATTTTAAGCCTCCATGCTGAGCATATTATCCTCACATGAAAATTAACCTAAAAAATAATTACAAGTATTCAGTAAGATCTCTAAAAAGACAATACATGCACTCCGGAAAAATCAAACATTTTGTGCAACATATGAATTTGTTCAAACCGTAAGGAGTGAACTGAAACCTCATCTTATTAATCAATCTTCGATCTGTGTAAAATTGGGTGCAAATAATATGAATATAGCTAATATACAATTCATTTATTCTACAGGTACAGTTGGTCACAGAAAATAATTCCTAAACTGTACATCGTTTTGTTTTGTAACCTAGACACTCAAGGATTTCTGTTCTATCCTTTTGGTAATCTTTCTAGAGCCTTTCTAACATTTATAAGCAGCACCTACAGGAAACCCCTGTATTCTCCTCTTGCCACAAACAGTATGTATTATGTATTAATAAGTTTTGAGGAATAAAGTAATAAATTTTCTTCAATACTCAACTTAATACTAAGTTTCTTCAATACTACTTTCTTCAATACTCAAGTTAATACTCAACTTATTATAGGCTGCCACACGGTCGCGTATTTGTCCTTTACTTGAATGCCACATAATCTACATATTCAGTTTCCAGGACTATTTATTATGTGTTCAATTTATTATGGATTTTTATAGATCTGTATTAGAACCAAACTTTTTTTACAGTTTCTTCTGGTGCTTGAACTGATACTCTCCTGTTACCCGTGTTTCAAGAGGGTCCTGATTTTTGGTGTCACAGTGCTTTGGAAACAGGAAGTCTATAGGCTGTACCACAGATCTCTGCGGTGGAATGCAAGGTTTTACCTTGTTTACACGGAGGGCTGCTCGAGATGCGCCTGGTGCGCCCCTCTCTCCTGGGGCCGGGGGACGGCGAGTGAGAGCTGGGAGTGCGAGACTGGTCAGACACGTAGGAGCCGTTCTCATAGTCATCCGAGTAGTAGGAGTCGCTGTTCCTCTCGTCGTCGGAGTTGTGATCTTTGTCCGGGTCCCGCGTTCTGGTCCTCGCCCTTTCGCTCATGGGACTGTCACCGTCTGGTTTCTCCTTGTTCTTGCGGTGCGGGGACTTAAAAGGGGGTTCTGAATTCTTGTCAAGGCTCCTACGGGAGTGCCGTCTCCTTTCTCTGTCCCTGTTATCTCCATGGGACGTGTGTGTGTTCTGGGACTCCATTCTGCCTCTGGCTCTGCCTAGGGACTCTGGATGGAAGGAGAAATGCAAACAAACAAATAACTAAAATAAAAGGACAGCCCGATTAAATCACCTTTTGTACATTTTGTATTTATAATACCAATTGCTTAACGTGTGTGACATGCAGTGAAGCTACATAACTCATTACACAGTTCTCCAGTATTCGGTTCTAAACAGAGTGGCACTTTAATATAAAGGCTTGTCTTGTACAGGATTAGAGAAGGCATTGTAAATTCTACGAATAGTGCCAATTCTGCTTTCAAGAATTAATGTATTTTATAAAACTCTGGGTTGAAAACATATGCCCATTAAGGAACTGACTCTGCTTATGACCTATGAGTCAGTCACTCAGTATACATAAAAAAAGCATCCTGTTCAAGTCCTTATCTACATTATTCAGACATACACTCCGCTTCTTTTTTTAAAACCATTCATTACGTGATGAAGTGTAAATCTATGTTTTCCCCCGTACAGTGTGAATGAAAAATAAGTATATTTATAAACTTTCACTAAAACACTTGGAAGGACTTGATTACGCAGGTTTATTTTGGCAGGTGCAGGGGTAATAGTGCTGAATGAGGCTTGCCAACAGCACAGGACGTTCTGTCAGGTACTCGCTCCTGTATCTGTTAAATGCAATAAAAGGCCCGTTTACATGATGCACCCCAAACTCCCCAGCCTAAGATTTCCAACTCTGAGACAAGACTGATTTCATCTACAGGCCACCTCCAGACTCTGAATGACAGGTGTTTGAATTTCCATTTTGGCTGTGTAGAGCACTAAAATCTTGGGTCAAAGAAAGTTTCCCTTTTCTGTTCCAGTACATGGTTGCTGTTAAAACCTGCACATGCAGATGTGACCTTGTGCCCTCCCCGCTCCACCCTGCCGGTTTTTCCGCAACACCTGGGGCACGAACCCAAGTCTCCTGCATAACGCAACAAGGAACAAGCCGAGTGAGCTAAAGGAGACCTCCCTCCAACCAGGCGGCTAAGGTCCCTGCTACACGCAGGGAGGGTGATGACGTCAACGCACCCAAACCAGCTCTGCTACACAGAGCACGAGCGCACTCAGAAACACAAATAAACACACCCCCAACACATCTATGATCTACTACCAGGATAAAAGGAGGTTTTTTTATTGGAAGTCTTACACAATAAAAAAGGATGAAATTGGATTTTTTATACTTTAGAAGACATATTTCAAAAGAAGCAACAATAAAAACCAGTGTACCTGATCTCTGCATAAAACAATGGTTAGTTTAAGCAACAAAATAAAGTATATTTCTCTTTTACTGCAGCCACACACACTGCACAAGGGCCCAGAGCTTAAAAAATCTTAAATGCATTTCACTACTGCACAACGAATCCTATTTCCTCTTCTGTGTAGTTCCACTTTTTAAATTTCAAGAAACTTTCTGGAATCAGATGAACTGACACACTGAAGTGTAACAACTTTGATAAGAATGAAAAGGCACAGTCTTTCACAAACAACTCCCAGTTCACTGGGAGACTTTATGTATGGTCGTCACATTTACTATTGCTCCCGATA